CCCCATTTTTCCTAAATTATGGACATGACCCAGTGATACCCTCTACACCAAATATTGAGACACCCGTGCCCTGATCCCAGAGATTTGCCGAAGACATCCTCGCCGCCCGCGAAAAAGCAGCTGAGGCAATCAGGAAAGCCAACCTGGTCGCAAGCCGACAAGGCGATCGTCATCGACGTGACGTCACTTACAAAGTGGGAGATCTCGTCCTACTTGACCCTCGAAGCTTGTGTCTACCAATCCCGAGTAAACTCCGGCCACGATTCTGTGGTCCTTTTCAAGTGACCAATATGGTGACACCTGTTACCGCTCACCTCCGACTACCGGCGGATTGGTGTCAACACCAGGATTTCCACGTCAGCCTACTTCGACCCTACGTTCCCAGTTCGTCGGATTTGGCACGTCAACGTATCGTACCGCAGCTGACGCCCCTACAGCAGTCCCTATTTTTCACGAGTAAATTACTCTGATTCTCTGATTTTCAGAGTTGATTTTGTGTACCACCCTTACGCCTCTGGGTAAATTTTTTAGATTATATGTTTTCTCTGATGAGCCAGGGTTTTCTTTTGTACCACCCTGAGGGGTTTACTGTAAGGAGGATACCCCCGTATTTTCCTGTACCCCCCTGTCCACATACATGCCCCCATATCCTCGCCTTGTTCACGCAGACCGCCGAGCTGGCCCACGTCATATGTTGCCAGACCCACCCTCGCTGGCAGATACCCTTCTCTCCTATTGGACACTTGTGTATTTTTTACGCAGGTTTCGGTGCCACACCCGAGTTTACCACGTCGACTCCTGCCACACTTGTACTCGCTGTACGTGTATGTGCCTCTGATTGGCCCCTTTGTCATTTTTTGCAGCCACGCACATCGACAGGCATGCAACACAGCGGGAATCTTTTCCCACACGCGCGGGCATATGCCCTTCTCGAACGTTCACGATGGCTCAGAAAGGCACCCAACCTTCATGTCGATGGTGCCACGGGCACCAAGAAGAGGCGAGAAAGGCCTCGTCTTCTTCACCCTGTTCTTCTCCCCCTGTAATACATCGGCAGTAGCCGCTAGTGTACTTGTTTAGCAACCCTCTCTCACATCTTGTCGAACGTGATCTATTTCGCCAGCCTCAAATCCTCTCGTCGTCCAACCTCGCCAGCTATGGCTGGCCTGGGCGATGCCGACGATGGCGGGGAGGATGAGGATGACGCCCCACCCCCACGTAGCTCGACCCCACTCAGCGGGTTAGACTTTTTGCGTCGCACGAACGCCTCCCCAGTAGACCCTCCTCCGCTCCCGAAGCGTCGAATTACCACCCCCCCAGTAGAGCCTCTGCCGCTCCCGAGTCTAAGCAGCGACGAATGGGAGCGTGAAATGGAGGAGGCGAATCTGTCGGTTGACAAGCCGGCAGATCCTCCACCTCCGGATCCCGTGCTCTCGCCGCCGGCATCTGCATCAACAGCGTCGGCTAAGAAGAGACGGCGGTACCAGCAGAGATATCTCCCCTTCGCGCCTCCTTCCAAGATAACGCCGCCAACAACCCCTGCCCCCGCCGTTGAAGCAGAGCGACCCCTCGCACCAACGTCGGCCGAGATGAAGGCCAAAGCTTATCTTGCTGCTCAAAAGAAATATACCTCAGATTGGCATGGAAGGTTTCCTTGGCTCGTCTTGGATAAAACTGACGATGGCTCACCCTGTTTACGTTGCAGTGTGTGCATGCAGCATGGCAAGCCGACAACCCGCTACGGTCGTGATGGGCCTGGCGGCAGGGACTTACAGATTGGCACCATGCGGTGGCACGAGGAGAGCACCAAGCATGAGGCCTGCGTGCAGAAGCAAGCTCACCTTGACAAGGAAATCGAGAACCAGAAGCGCATGGACAACTTCGCCAAGAACGACCCCGACGCCGCCCGCGTCATCAGACTTTTACGCTCCATGCTATTCATCTGTAAGGAAGATGCCCCGATTTCAATGTTCACACGTCTAATCGGTCACCTGTCGCAGGAGGGGGTGAAGGACATACCCAAGCAGACTTACGGCGCGTACATCACGAAGTAAGCGCGCTGTCTTCATATTTGTATAATCTATTGAATACGGGACTAGCATATAATCTGTTGTCTTATTGTATGGTGTTTGTCGCAGGTATGGGTTCAAGGAGATGGTGAAAGCCATGGTGGCTTTCTTGAAGGCACAGCAGATGGAGCACATCCACTCCTCCCCGTTCATCGGCATCAGTTGCGACGAGAGTACCGACCGCACCCGCGGAAAGCATCTCATCGTCTTCGGCACCTTCTTAAAGAAGCGGCGCGTCGTCACTGAGTTCTTGAGCCTGCTCACCATCGACAAGTGTGATGCCGCGTCGCTCCAGTCTGTCCTGCTGGGTCACCTGGAGGGGAGTGGCATTGAGCTTCAAAAGATCGCCGGTATTAGCACCGATGGGGCGTCGGTGATGACCGGCGAGAAGAACGGGCTCGTCGCTCGTCTTCGACTGCGTATCCCGCACCTTGTCGCTTGCCATTGCATCGCACATCGGTAAGACTGCCATTGCAGTACCCTCTTGTCCATGTCTGTATGATTATCCATGCATGTTTCTAACCTCACTTGTGCCTTGGTGCCATCGCAGAGAAGCGCTGGCGGTCAAAGACGCCTCCAACTCCTTCCCCGTCGTTGGATGATCACGTCGGTCGCTCGACTCCGTGGTACGAGAGGTTCAAGGCTCTGCAACTTGTCATCCACGACACGAACCTCGAACATCAGGGGCTCTACGCTATAAGGTGGCTTGCATGTGGTGACGCTGTGCGGCGACTCTGCAAGATTCTCGGCGCAGTCATCGTCGTCTTCATCGAGTACAAGCACAAGCACGTCGCGCTGCTGAAGTCCTATAAGTTCCACTTCTGCCTTAACTTCCTCGCCGACATCCTCGCTGAGCTCAACACTCTGAACAGGTTTTTCCAGCGCCGCACGGTAAGTTGAATCGTTTTCTTTCTTGTCGTGGCTCGTTGAGTTGATTAATAACTTGGGCGTGTGTCTTGCGGGAAACAGGTTCTAACATCCGTGCCCTTTGCCCTTGCCCTCCCACCCCGACCTTCAGGTGGACATCACGCTCGTCACCCAAGAGGTCGACCGCACTGTCACCTACATCAAGCACCGATACATCGAGTACGGGGAGCGGTTCGGCGGCGGGCTGAGCAAGCAGCTCGACAAGTTCCTCGCCCGCTACAAGGAGGGTAAGGGGTCGCTCGAGGTGCACGGCATCGCGGCAGATGGCTCTCCCTGCACGCACAAGTTCGAGCTCACCTTGTCGCGCATCCCGGGACATGCGTTCGGCGGCACTCCTTCCGACTGCGAAGACCTTTGCACGGCGTTCGCCAAGGAGACAGTGGGGTGCTTGGAGGGGCGGCTGTGGGACATGAAGCGGATGGAGGGGTCGAAGCTCTACAAGGTGGACCAGTGGCCCAAGAAGGCAGAGGTGCGGGAGCGCCGGTGCCGCAAGTGGGCTGAGCAGAACATGGCGCTGTTTGACAACAAGCTGCCAGGTCAGTGGCTTTAAAAGAGGTCGTGTCGTATGTCTTGAATATGGTTAGATGCGGTGCCTCTGTTATTTCAACACCTCCTTTTCGTGCCATTATACGCCCCTACCCCCCCCCCTCCCTCCTCGCCAACAGGAGTCGAACTGCGTGCGATGGAGCTGGAGTTGAAGACCTTTTGCCACATCATGAAGACTCATCGCAAGGACGACGACTTCGCCCAGGGTTTGGCCAATATGATGAAGACGAAGGACTGGTACAAGTCCTACCCGAACCTGATGCGGATGTGGCAGGCGCTGGCGGTGTTGCCCTTGAGCACCGTCGAGTGCGAGCGCGGATTCTCATGGCAGAATGTCATCATGGGATGGCATCGCACAAGCCTGTGCGATGCCACCCTTGGTGACTTGATGACCATCAGCATGCTGGACTACGACATGGACTACCCCCAGATCGTGGAGAAGTGGAGGCGCATTAGGCACCGTAGGCAAGCTAGGAATGTTGAATTTGAGCAGGAAATTCCCCTCTTCCCACAGCAGAAGGATGTCGCAGAGAGCTCAGGCGATCAGAGTGTCGGAGGTGAAAGTGAGGATGACAAGGAGGATGATGATGATGAGTTAGTCATGTAATATTGTGCTATGCTTTATTGCGAAAAAAAACTATTGCTGTCACTATTTTACTCTGTGCAACTGGCACTTTCACCAGAGCTGGAAAAAATACCACTCTGACTAGCCAGAGTAAAAAAATAAAAATTATGGGGTTACTCTGATGCCTCAGGGAAAATGTTGAGGACCACCCTAGTTTTCAGAGTAATGGTGAAAGAAGCTTCCAGATTTCAGAGTAGTGAAAAACCAAAGATCAGCACTGCCCTACAGGAACCGACGACCGAGCCTTTGAAGATTCTCGGCCATCGAATTACAACGCAGCAGAACCGTCGACTGGTGTATTTTCTATTCAGATGGTGCGATCGGACGTCCGAGGAAGACAGATGGGTGCCCCTCGCTGACATAGAATCACATCCGATTCTAACAGCATACTATCAGCGTCGGAATGTTTCCGATGCCCGCGGACTCGTTTAGGAGGGGGGGTAGTGTAAGGGATTTCCATTCCTTACTGAGTCGTACGCGAGCGCGTACACCCGAACTCCTCGACTCGTCACGTTCGGCCTCATCTGTCGGCCCAACCCTTTCCCGAGTCGCGTCCGGCGCTGTCGCCACATTGCCGAACCTACCCACGTTCCGAGGTTATTGCCCTAGCACGCCAACCCCTAAATAACCTCGTGCCTTCATTGCAATAGCGACATTGTAATTCTCACGTTATAGTTCATTGACACTTCCTATATCATAACAATATGAATCTGATAACACTTCACGAAAGACTCGAGTTTAATCGTAACGCGGGAAATGGTTCTCAAGAGCAGTTTCCTCCCTCTGGGCTGAGATGCTTTTGATGTGAAAAGAAAAACCTTCGTTCAGTTTCCATTCCAATTGTGCTTGCTCCTAGGTCAGATCCGCCGCACATCACCATTTTCACGAACCACCAGCGTCCGCTCTGCGACGACTCAATTCCTGTAATACACTCTGCTCTATTCCAGCTAGTCGCTGCCTCGGTTCTGATCTAGTTGCAGAGCGCCTGAATCCTCAGCGTTACACATGGCGCCTTCATCTCACGTAAGCTGGTCGTAGTTCGACAGTAAGTGTGAAGCGTAGATTTTGCTAAAGCTGTCCAGATTTCCGCTCAATATTCTTCAAATGCTGATCGAATGGGTGTTAAAGGACCTACTTTTGTCGCTGATGGCGTTTGATCAGATCGTCAAGTCGCGTTTCGCCATTATTTTCCGAGACCAGATTCTAGATTCACATCTATCTTCGTCCTCTCTTCCCTCCCCCACCCACTCTGATCCCCCACTCCAGGATCTATTTCTCCTCTCTCCACTGACCAGTCCCGTTCCCCAGTCGCTATACCCATTGCTTGCCGTCACACTCGTCACCGCCGGTCTTATCGCAACAGGAGCTTTCTTCGTGTAAGTGATTGAACATACGCATTTTGTCTGCCGTTTTAACATAGCATAGAGTGCGATGCGATTATGTTATATTATATTGCTGGGCTCTCTCGTTCATCATACATGGCCTAGTTGGCATGACGAGTGCGACGGCACTGCTCCATCCACACCCGCAGCCTGGCGAAGTTTTCTTGGCCTGATGTTGCAACGTTTTCTGTAACGTGTCCCTCGCCCAACCCCGTTACTTTCTCTCGGAACAGCTATGAAGCCACTGTTTCAAAATTCAGCAGATCTTTGCCCAGAGAACTGCTCCTCTCAGCCATCGCGTCTGTGCTCCTGGTGAGTGGCGTCCTCTCCTGTACTCCTTTCCCCCCTTGTGTGCTTCCCTCCAACTCCCCTCAAGTACGCCCTTCTGATTGATGCTTCTTTAACTAATGCTTCTGACAACTTGTTCTTCCTACTACAGGGTTTCGGTACGCTCTTCCTCTTCCTATGGACGGGGGTGTATGTCTGATCCAGAATGGAACTAGTTGAAAGGCGGATGGACCATACTGTGTCACAGTTACTGGCACTAACATTATGCACAGAACGAAATTGCTGTGGCAGTCAAACCATGGCATGTCACAAAATGTTTGGGTTTACGTGATGAGGCTCCGAGGGGCTATGCCAACTTATCTTTCGGTCAGTGGTGTAGAGGATCCAAGTGTGATGCAACGCATTTAATATGGCAGGTCATTCGTAGAAACAACTCAGCTTGCTGCTTGTCTCAGAGTAGCCAACTGAATGAAGCAAGGGCATGTCACAAGACTGGCTTAGCTAGGAAGCCATAAAATGACATGAGGTACAGCTAGGAGCTGGGAGGAGCCATGGAAATGGCGAGGAGAGAAGTGAGTATCAGAATGGAAAGAGGGACACAAGGAGGGGTGTTGAACCCTCTACAGTAAAGTTCAGTAAGTCCACCAGGCCTAATTTATATACTAACATATATAATTTAACAGGGCATACATGGTGCTATATATGAGTTGCGGGTTGTACTCCTTAAGAGCATGTATATAACTAGCCTATAACTAGACATACATTACAAATGTACTGTAATCCCCCGTATATAACTGTCAAACATGTGTATCTCAAATCTTTTGCTTAGACTGTATAGGGTCACCTCTTAGAGGGTACAACACTTACGTATATTCACTTGTACTCTCTGTTAAAATTATATAAGTTATAATTTAATATAGGCTTGGTAGGTTGTTACTGAACCTTTCTGTAGAGGGTACAAACCCCTCCTTGTACTCCTCTCTCTTCCTAATCGTCCCTCCTTTCTCGTCAACTTCTCTCCCCGCTCCTAGATCGACTTTCCTCACGCCATTCCATGGCGTCCTTAGTTCCTAGCTAAGCTAGGTTCCTAAGTTTAGTTAGTGTCCTAAGCTTCTTTGATATGGTATCAGAGCAAGAGATCCTTCCTGCTGGACCGCCTACTCACGCTTCTCGCGCTGCCATGGCGCTCGTGTCGTGCCGTTGGCCGCGTCGTGCCGCGGCCGTCGCGACGCACTGCTGTCGTGGCGTCGCGCTGTCGTGCCGTCGCTTCCGCCGCGCATTTCTCTCGCCACTGCCTTCCCGCCGTGACGGCCATGCCGGCCTGTCATGGCGGCTTCGTCGGGCGGCCGTCGCCTCCTCGACGCAATGCCGAAGTGGCGTCGACGCTTTGCCGTGGCAGCGTCACCTTGCTGCCGTTGCAGCGTCGGCGTGCCACCACAGCGTCGACGCCGCGCTCTGGCGGCGTCGTCATGCTGCCGCGGCAGCGTCGATGGGCGGCAGCGGGCAGCACGCCGTCGTAACCGCCACCTGCCCGCCCTCCTGCCGATAAGCGCCGCGCCACTTATGGCGCGTCGCTGAAGACTCGCCTCGCCCCGCCCCCTCCCCTCCCCCCCCCACCTGCACCTGCTTCCCCTGCATCCCCCCCTTTCTTGCTGCAGCCGATGACTGCCTCATGAGGGTCCTCTCCACCGCTGAGGAGACTGGACATGCCGCCGAGAGGGCGGGGGCCGCTGCACCGGCCTCTGACGTTCAAGCCGCCGTCGCAGCCGCTGTTGCCGCGGGCCTGGTGTCGCCGCACGCCGCCGACGCCGCTGTTGCCGCGGGCCTGGTGCCGCCGCACGCCGCTGCCGCCGCCGCTGTCGTCACTGTCGCCGCTGCCGCCATTGCCATCTCACGGGCCGTGGGAGCTGCCCTCTTCCGGAGTCGTTGCGGCTCCTGCTGGGAATGGGGGTGCTGGGCTAGGGGGTGTGGGTGTGGGTGTGGGTGTGGGTGTGGGTGTGGGGGTGTGCGTGGGCTTGACACTACCAAGCCTAGGGGGTGTGTTAAAATTATATAAGTTATAATTTAATATAGGCTTGGTAGGTTGTTATTGAACCTTTCTGTAGAGGGTACAAACCCCTCCTTGTACTCCTCTCTCTTCCTAATCGTCCCTCCTTTCTCGTCAACTTCTCTCCCCGCTCCTAGATCGACTTTCCTCACGCCATTCCATGGCGTCCTTCCTTAGTTCCTAGCTAAGCTAGGTTCCTAAGTTTAGTTAGTGTCCTAAGCTTCTTTGATACTCTCTCCCTACTCAATCATTCATTCAGTTCTAAGATTGTATCAGCAGTAGGTAGGTCCCCCCCCCCCCCCCCCCCCCGCCCACGCTTCCGCTCTAGGACCTAGCCGCGCCCTAGCCGCCCATCCTAGCCGCCCGACCTAGCCGCACCCGCGCGCCCGTCCTAGCAGCGCCCGCGCGCCCTTCCTGCAGGCCCCCGCGCCCGTCCTCTCGGCCTTGTGCCCGTCCTAGCTGGCCCCGCGCCCGTCCTAACGGCCCCCTCGCTCGTCCTACCGGCCCCCGTGCCCGTCTTACGGCCCCCGCGCCCGTCCTAACCGGCCCCCGTGCCCGTCCTAACGGCCCCCGCGCCCGTCCTTGCTGGCCCCACGCCCGTCCTAGGGGCCCCCGCGCCCGTCCTAGCTGACCCCGCGCCCGTCCTACCGCCCCCCGCGTCTGTCCTGACGGCCCCCGCGCCCGTCCTAGCCGGCCCCGCGGCCGTCCTAGCGGCCCCCGCGCCCGTCCTAACGGCCCCCGCGCCCGTCCTAGCCGGCCCCGTGCCCGTCCTAACCGGCCCCGCGCCCGTCCAAGCGGCCCCCGCGCCCGTCCTACTGGCTCCCGCGCCCGTCCTAGCCGGCCCCGCGCTCGTCCTACCGGCTCCTGCGCCCGTCAAACAGCCCCCCCCCCGCCCCCCCCCCCCCTCGAGCGCTCGTCCTAGCTGGCCCCCGTGCCCGTCCTCCAAGCCCCCACGCCCGTCCTAGCCGGCCCCGCGCCCGTCCCAGGCCTGTCCTCGCTGGCCCCGCGCCCGTACCTGGCCCCCGCGCCCGTCCTCGCCGGCCTGGCGACCGCCGCTACTGGCCCCCTGCGCCCGTTCTGCCGACCCCTGCGCGCGCCCTGCCCGTCGACCTCTGGCCCTGTGCTCACCTTCCCGCCGGACTGCCGCCGATCTGCGTGCGACCCGCTCTTCGTGCCTGCTATTGCACTGCACCCTCGCTGGTACTGTTCTCCATCACCTTTCACTGCACTGCACTGTACCGCCCTATACCGCGCTGCACCGCACTGTACCGCACTACACAGCACTGCACCGCACTGCGCCGCGCTGTCTCGTACTGCACTGTACCGCGCTGCACTGCCTCGCCTGGTCCTGCCCTGCACTGTTCCGGATGGCGGCGGAGCTTCGCTTCGACGCTGAAGGCCAGCCTCTGGAGTTTGAGGCGTGGCTAGCCGACCTCCGCCGCCACCTCACTGGTCAGCGGCAGGATGGTACGCTTCCCTGCCCAGACCCCCCTGCTGTGCTGCCCGCTGACCCCACACCTGCTGAGCGCGAGTCTACGGCGGCCGCTGCCCTCGCTCGCTCTGTCTGGCTTTCCCATGACGCTGTCGCACAGCTTGCCATTAGCAATGCCCTCCCCCCGTCTGAGCGCCCCCGCTTTAGGTCTATCACCACCGCCCAGGCCTTCTTAGATGCTGTTATCCGGCGCTATTCCGCCCCGCCTGCTGCCTCGGTGGGTCGCCTGATCCTACCGATGGTCTTTCTTGACCTTGCGTCTTTCCCCAATGTCGCTGACCTGGCTGCCCACCTGCGCACGATAGATGAGACTTGGCACGCTGCGTGCACTGACGCACAGCTTAGAGCCCACCAGCCGCCCCTTACCTCTACCCTCTACCTGCTTGCCACCCGCCTCCCTGACCGCCTTGCCGCTGCTCGTGACCGCTTCCTTAGCATTCACCCCGGTGACCTCACCCTCACAGACTTTGTAGACACCCTGACTGTTATAGAGACCCGCCACCGCTCTATTGCACAGGCAAGCGGTACTGTGCCGGTCCATATCTTTCAGGGTTGTGCCCCCGCTCAGTGCACCTTCTCCGATGGTTCTGCAGCTGTGGCTGAGACCGCCGCAGCAGCGCAGTTCCGTCCGGGGAAGGGTCGCCGCCCCAAGGCTGGGCGCGGCGGAGGAGGTGGGGGTGCAGGTGGAGGTGGTGGTGGAGTCGGGTCGTCTGGTGGTGGAGCGGACGAGGGGACCCTGCCAGGTCCAGCTGAGCAGCCGCCCCAGCAGCAGCAGCAGCCGCCCCAGCGGCAGTAGCCGCCGCAGACGAGGCAGGCGAGTGCCCTCCCGCCCGGGTGGCCTGGCGCTGGTGGTGGTCGTGCGCGTGGTGGTGTGCCGGGTGGCGGTTCGGGAGGCGTGCGCTGTCAGTACCAGATCCAGACCGGTCCTCGCTGCGGCTTCATTTGTGATAAGATCGGTCACGCCACTGCCCGCTGTTTTCGTCGCCCGGACGACCTGTTTCGTCAGCGCTTCGGCCCGTCGCCCGACCTCCCGGACTGGCACAGTTTGCTTAGTCGTTGAGTTCAGATTTTTGACATGGACATGGATGCCATTGTTTCTGCCCTGCATGTGATGTATGCTGATGACTCTAGTGTGCTCCCCTCTTATTACTCCTTGTCGTCTAGTGTAGGTGTGCCCAGCTTAGCCTTCCCTGCTGCGTTAGGTGTAGGATACCCTGCTTTGTTTAGCCTTTTGTGGTGCTTCCGCCGTCGCCTCGTCGCCAGACGCCACTGCTTCGCTTTCCTTCACTTTGGACTCTGGCGCTTCTCGGTGTTTCTTTCGCGACTCCACTACGCCGCTTCCTGTTCCTTCTGCAATTTCTCTTGCCGACCCCTCCGGCGGTCCAGTAGTCGCCTGCAGTTCCACCACCCTTCCCTGTCCGGCGGTTCCTTCGGGCTCGCTCACAGGTCTGCATATCCCCTCATTCTCCATGAACCTAGTTGGTGTCGGCTGCCTCCAAAACCTTGGGGTCACCACTACGTTCCCTGGTCACGAGCGGTATGCTGTCTGTACCAAGGCCGCCACAGGTGCCCCCCTGTCCATGTTCCCCCGGGAACCGGTGTCCTGCCTGTTAACCCTGGACACCGTGACCCCCTCGGCTGGCGCGCCCCTTCAGGTCGCTGCGTCTGCTGCTGCCTGCTCCTGTCGGTGCCTCACTCACCCGACTCTCCTTAGGCACCACCGCCTCGGTCACCCTGCACTCCCCCGTCTGCGTCACATGTCCCAGCACGGTCTCGTCCTTGGTCTCCCTGGTTCATTCCCCGCTTTTCCCTCCTCCCCCGCCCCACCTTGCACGCCTTGTGTCGAGGGTCGGCTTCACCGTGCCCCTCACTCCTCCTCGTTTCCCCCTACCGCCGCGCCGCTGCACACTCTGCACATGGACGTCTGGGGCCCCGCCCCCGTCCATGG